ATGAACACTGGACTCAGATCCTAAATAACTGAACCTGACATGAACACGTCTCCTGCATTAAAGAAAAGGGAAGTACACATCCAGGATAATCAGCCAGCAGAGGAGTTAACAGCCCCTCATGACCTGTAAACCGCACAGTGCAGCGCACATCCCTGTTCTGCTTTGACTTCCAACACGCTGATGATCATTTCATCACAACGGCGGCTTTCTCAGATCGTCTCCACTCTCCGATTTATTCATGCATCCCTTCTTTAAACATTTAAAGTACAACCCGGCCTGTTTGGCAGCACAAAGAACACAATCATAAATAAACCGAGTAGATTGAAAGGTTAACAAGGCTTTCAAAACAATTTAAAATGACATTAATTTATGCATAAGAACATTTAAAGGAGGGGAACTCAAACCAGAGATTAGGATAAGAGGAGTACAATGAATTCAATGGAAGCTCTATTTTTTGCCTTAAAATCATTAAGGCAGTTTGAATCTTGGACCCAGACTAGAATCAGGATCTAAAGGTGAGCAGCTTTGGAAACTCTGGGAGCAATGTAGTGTAACCTTTTACCTTTTGTTTTTTTAGGGATGTCATTAGAAGTCTATCCTTTTTTTTCTTTTCTATCATTTACAAATTAAAGTGAGCTTTGACCCAAATGGACAACATAAACCAGCATAGCGTGTTTTTTAAATTAAGTTTCAATGTTGTGTAAAACTATTGTGTTTTAGATGTTGGTCTTTCAAAAGTAATAAAGTGGTGAAACATTAAAAAAAGCTTGAAAATGCAGTTTTTTTTTTATTTTTAAAACGAGTGAATTATCATAATTGGATCATTACCTGTTAGAGGTAAGGAAAACCATTGCACTAAATATTGATAGAATAGTTAGTAATGGAGTTAGTAATGAACTATCAACAATGCTTGTTAGGATTTTTTGGGTTTCAGACATCTTTTGGATAATTAAACATGCTGTTCCTAAGAAATGAACATAACAGGAGGGTTAATATGAGCATTTTCTGTTTGGACGACTCGTTATTCCCTCGTGTGCGTCGGTGCTTTTAAATAAATAAAAGTGTCTCACCGGGTGTGTTGAGGAGGCGTGAGCTCCTGCAGTGGTAGGCCAGCTCCTGCTGGCAGCCCTCTGAGCGCCGGATGACAGCCTCCAGCTGCTGGTCATCAGACGCGTACTCAAAGTGAGCCCGGTGCTGACTTCCTCCCGCTGATGGACGGACTCTGGTCAGTTCTGTGTTGTTGTGCTGGATCTCCATCCACGTTTTGTCCTCTGAGAGGAAAAAAGAAGAAGACAAAGTGCGTTCATTTCTATTTCTAAATAAAAAAAAGCCTTTTCGTCTCGTCAAACTGGGCAGGAAGGGGGGGGGGGCAGGTGTCTGGATGGGCTGTTTTGACGTGCGTGGCAGGTACCTGTCATATCGCAGTATATCAGCTGCGGTTTGATGGGTCCGCTGCCGTCCACATCAATGTAATAATAGCCTGACGCGTTGCCCCTGTGTTTGTACGCCTCGCAGGATTGCTCGTACACAGCTGAACAGAGACAGACACAGTCCGTTGGAGGCATCTGTATCTGTATGTATCAATCAGCGTTCAGCGTCTGTGTGCTGCTGGTGGGAAAATGCGCAAATGCACTTTGTGCATCTCAGATCTATTTCTGGCAAAAAGTAAATACATTTTGTGTTCTAGCTTTCATTAATGTCTTTATATTGAATGAATATACAGCAATAAACGTTCTTATCAGCTCGAATTTAGCCTTCGGCCTTTATGAGAAAACAGTATAATTAAGTGTACCTTTAAACTTAGTATATATTTTTATTTCTGATAAAGAAACAGAAACAGAGTGCAGCATTCAGAAAGATAGGGAAGAACTATGTTTTTAGGAATCGGCTAAAAGAAGAAATTGGAGCCAATTATGAGATTTCTTGTGACAGTCCAAATCTTTTAGTTTGCTACCCCCCTCTGCGTGTCCATCCCTAAAATCTTCTTTTTGTTGACCTCTCAACTCTCCCGGTGCTTACAGCTGTGGCAGGTGGCCCCGCTGTAGCCGGTGCCGGAGCAGTTGCAGTGGAAGCTGCTCCAGGACTGCGTGCAGCCGCCTCCATGTTCACAGTGGCTGGGAGAACACCTGAGAGAGCAAAAAGCACGGATCGAATGCAAGTCGGGGCCTCAGAATAACACTCACGAGTACAATTTCTGCCCTCATTTCCTGCTGACGAAAGAGAAAAGAAAAGATTTTATGAGGGAAGACTGAGACCTTAAAATAACTTTTGTGTCAAATAAGGTTAATTTGAATTATTTACAGACAACAATCTTCCGAATTTGACAAAGACATAACTTCTGTCAAAAGAAAAAGTACAAAATGTGCATTCATCTATTACATGACTTTATGGCTGTAAATTACACAGTGGTAGTTGTTTTTATATGTGTATGTATATACATATAGTTTTTTATGTATATATCTATCTATATTATATGAGGAATTTTGTATATATATATACATATGTATATATATATGTATAGACATGTATATATGTATATGCCGCTGTTTTATCTATGGAGCCATTAACAAAACAATTTCCCTCTGGGATTATTAAAGTATTTCTGATTCTGATGTATATATATGAGACAGACTTTACAGTCATAAATAGTCCCTGTCCTGTTCATCCGTCTCCTGAAAAACGTCTGTTTTTTCACATTTTTTGTGGTCTTTTGCAGCATGGGTTTAAAAAAGATAAAGCAAAAAAAACAAAGCTACTCAAATTGAAAGAAAATCTGAGGTTGTGACACAATTTAATTTGAATCAGTGTTGTTTTGAGCATCTCCCGATGTTTCATAGCATCCCGAGGCTGAGGGAGTAATTAGACAGCCACTAAAAGGTGAATGGAGCTCAGCACTGAGAGGGAACAAACAAATTTAGAGGAAGAAATGAGGTCAGCAGATTGCGACTGCAGAGACTGAAAGAGAAAGTGGGTGAGAAACATGTATTTTTAATCTTTTGGCCGGTGGGAAATTTACAGTCAGCAGAAGCCTTACGCAGCAGGATTTTCAGGTGGCAATTTTAGATATGTTTGCATCATTTTCTTTGATTTGTTTCCTTGAACAGGTTGAAATATGCAGGTGTACCATGGGGGTTTTAGGTAAATGTTTTCAGCTCAGTTATCTCTGTGCACACATTTCTCAGAAGCTGTGTCATTAGCCAGAGAGTAAAAGTGGGGATTCAAATAAAAAATAAATAAAGAGAAACTACAATAAGTGTCTCTGACAATGAATTATTATTTACACCTCCATGAATTATATCACGCCACAAATATTTTTTGGCAACAGCACTTTTTAAAAGGAGACGCCTGAGTAAGTATGAGCCTCTTTCATTAAGATGTTTAAAAAAAATAAAAAAACTGCTCTATAGATAACATTTAGGCTGATTCTCAAATTTGAATAAAGATACTAATATTATATCATTGAATGATGTGTAGAAGCTAAAAAAAAAGAACATTCTTATCTCACACAGGGAGCTCCGAATGACATTTCTACAAGATGAAAGATAAGAATTAGAGGCAAAATGGCCGCAACATCTGTCGAACGTGAAATGTCTGTCAAATACAGCCTGTGAGATAGAGATAAAAAGCTGTTCCGTTTGACAGTCTCAGATTTTGCAGCCCAGGACACGTGTCCAACATCCCTATAAACCAGACATCAGTCACCCTGTCAACCACAGAGTCATACATCTACATCATATGGAGATAATGATGGTTTATTAAGATGCCGCAATGTGCAACATTCTGACACATATTGTCCTCATCTCAATTTCTCATATAATATATTAACAAGGGCCACATGTGGAACGATACCAGCTCATTAAAAGCATTTAGCTAGGTCACAGGGATCGTTTTCTGACCTGTCGATGATGCCGCACATATCGATTTGCAGGTGACTGTAATCTCCCATGAGCCTCTGCTGCACACTGATCAGGTCCACCGGCTGCTTGTTGACGGCCAGCAGGCGCATGCAGCCCTGAAACGCTCCGAAGGGGTTCGTGCACCCCTGACCGCTGCCTTCGGCTGGGCAACCTGCACAAGAGCACAAAAGTCACCTATTGCTAATACCTAAAGAAATAAGCAAAACATCAGATGTAAAATGAGTGGCTGAAAACGGCCTTTGAATGGCTGAAAAGGTGAAATAAAAATGTCGGTCAGGGTTATGGTGACCCATGGGTTTTCCTTTCTCTTACCGCCAAAGAAAAGGTGCCCTCCCGTCGTGATGAGAGTCTGAGGACCAGCGTGAGTATCCCGGTCCACTCCGTCCACAGTGATGGTCAGATGTCCAGGTGCTGAGGTCAGGTCCACAGAGTGCCACTGACCGTCATTCAGAGCTGAGCCTGAAGGAGCCAGCAAACGCTTCAGAGTTTGACTTTATTGTGCGCGTTAAAGCGTTGTTTTAACACAACAAAGGCGACATCTGATAGGATTTGATGTTACATGAATAATAACCGGGAGCTGCTTGTTCCAGACAATAAAGATCACGACGAGAGAGAGACTCTCTGCGTGACGGCGGGAAGTGCTTGAAAGCAGATCAGTGAAATGAGTCGGGACACAAGCGCGTTAAAAAGCTCTGCGTTACTAAACTGAGGACAGAAGTTCTCTTTGTTTGTCCTCATATAGAATGAGGACAAAGTAAAGAAGCGGTGGATGCGTTCATTTTTCGTCTTATTGTGCTGCTCTGTGCACTGAGCCTTTTGGGAGGGAGTGTTTCTGACACGGGCGCTCCATAGCATACAAAAAAGACTTAAAAAAGACTTTAAAAAGATCTGTGAACACTTATACAATTTTCTTTGTTTTTTAACCCCTTGTCGTGTTTTGCATTATGGCGACAGAGTTGTAATCTGAGTTTTGTGCTCTGCTTGACACTTTTGCTTTTCCCAGGGAGGCCTGTAAGGGAAGCCTCCCTTGATCATCCAATACTGCTTTATTATTTATTTAAGATTTATTTTTGTTACAGAAGTAAGATGGTTAATGCCAAACCTGACCAGGGGGACAGGAAAAGAGAAAAAAAAGAGAGAAAAAAAAGGAAAAAAAGATGAAATTAAAAAAGGATGAGAGGATAAAGAAAAGGTAACAAGACCTGTGCCGAAAAAAAGAGAGATCCCTAAAACAGGAAGAAAAAGACAACAAAACCATTAATTCAGCTGCTCTATCTGTAGAAATATGTCCTGTAGTCACCGTGGGCAACCTGAGGGACGCTTAGACAATGTTAACTCTGGCTGTGATGAGATTTAAGTGAAGGGTGTCTTCAAAAATTCAATAATGATTAAAAAATGAATAAATAAAGAAGTTTTGGGTAATCAAGGGGGGCTTCTCACTAACAAAGCCTCCCTTGGCAAAGCAATTTTGCTCAGCATAGAACGGTACGCAGATTTCAGTTCTACTACCATAATGCTGAACAGGACAAGGTAAAAAAAATTAAAAAATAATAAAAAATAAAAAATAAAAAAATAAGCGAAGGGTGTGTGAGACTGGCCTGCTCGGAGGTGTCTGGGCGCCCTGCCGGGCCTGTGGGTCTGCAGGTGTAACCGGGCCCTGCTCAGGTACAGCCACACGGCCCCCTCCTGCCTCGGCAGGTCAAAGGTCAGCAGCAGCCCCTCCTCGTCCCACGTCCGAAACTGAAGAGCCACCGACATTCCCGGGGGCGATGCACCTCCGCCTCCGGGCAAACGCAGGAAACTGTGAGGGCCGGTGAAGGTGGCCGCCACGGAAACGGGCTCAGAGCACGCAAACGTCACGTTTCCCTGCAGAGGGAGGGATAAAAAAATTGAAAAAAAACACGGGAAACTAAATTATTACTGCAAAACGGGGACAGCATGAGAGTGCGTGGATAAAAATTGCTTTCAAAGGCTTGGTGGAGGCACCCCCCGCTGAGCAGAAATCTCATCCACCAGGCTCCTGGAAAAGTAGAAAGGGTATTAGAATAATGATAATGGCCTCCATTATTACAAGCACAATGTCAGCCAGAGGCTTTCTCGGGTCACGGAGGGAGCCTGAGGGAGGAGAGGTGCTGGGCAAAAAACAAAGAAGAGGGGCAAAGAGTTTCTCTTATCCACAGGCTCACTGTTCTGCTGCGATCCAGGGCACCAGAGGGGAATACCGGGTTTCTATTTTCAGCTGAGCGTGCAAGACCAGACACACTTGATCAAATCTAAAAGCTCTTTGTGGGGTGTTTAAAGCAATATAAACCAAAGCAGACTGGATTACGGAAAGCTTCCCGGTCAATGGTGCTGGGCATTGGGGGGACATAAACCAATAAACTCGCACATGGATGCTTTTCATTTGGAGTATTTACAGTAAAAGTGAATATTTACAGTACACATTTAGGTAAAAAAAAATCTATACATGCGTTTTCCTCTTTAATGAATTTAATCATCTACATTCTGATATAGATTTGATTTTAAAAAATGCATTTCAATGACACAAGTTCAGTTCAATTGTTATACGTGAGCCACACATTTTCCATACCACACATGGCATCACAGAATTCCCATTTCATGTACTTTACGATCCATAAACTACATTCTTTTTATCCTCCTCACGTTCACGTAATGGGTCACCGCTTTGGCGTTTTCAGCATCGAAACCCAACTTTAACCATAAAGGTGGGAATTCAACCCACTGTGGTCTCCAGCCACTGAGGGAAAACTGTGAATCACACGCATCATTGTGACATTTACGCTTCAGATTAAAGAAACGGGGACATTCAGAGGAGTTTTCACTCAAAATCCTGCTCCCGCTTTGTCTTTGAGTCTGTGGGGACGGCCCCTGTCTCAGGAAAGTATGCAGCTATTAGCAAGACAGAGGACAGCTTTCCCAGTGTTTTTATTTGAATATTTAATTTCCTCCTGTGTCTCCCTCCCCGTTCTTGCATTTCCATTTCTCTCTGTCCTCTCTGCTCTGGAGGTGTGGTGGGAGGGGGTGTGCTCTGAATACTGACTCACTCCTTCTGCTCGTCCCTCACATCCTCCTAATTAAAACTCTTGTCAACTCTCCACTCGGACGAAGTATGAGAGTTTCTGTTATGGGGTTGTGCAGGCCAGCCTGTGTGTGTGTTTTTTTTTTCTTCCAAACACCAAACGCAGTTTTCTAGTTATCCTGATTTGTGAATAGTGAAAAGAAATCCTGTTTAGGTTGATTTCTGGGGTCAGTGTCTGTGAAAGGGGTAAACTAGATGCTGTGGCTAGGTTATTAGGAAATGTACTTCCTTTTTTAAACCTCCGATCTTTTCTCCTATGAATGTTTTTTTTTCTTTGTTAATAATTTGTTGGTATATTCAGATAAATGAAAACCAAATTCCTACCACAACAACCTGATGAATGAGGAAATCTGCCTTATCCGGGATGCCCCACAGCAAAAGATGTCAATTCCTTGAATGCTTTTCCCGGTAAACTGATTTAAATGGAGCTTGTATTACATTGTATCCTCATCATTTAGCTTCAGGGGCATAATTGAAAGTCAATTTACCTTCGCAGTAACCCGATGGTCGCTCTGTTTGGCGAGGTGCACCAGGTTCAGGCCGTTGTAAACAAGGTTTTCCAGACAGCCCTGGAAGTTCCTGTTCGAGTCCAGGTCCCGGCCCGCCCCCACGCTCATCTGGACAAAAGAAAACTAGAAGACGAAAATGAGTCAATGGGATGTTTTTAGTTTTTTTTTATTGTCCATATCCGTGTGACACAAACCTGGTTGTTGACCCAGAGGGAAAGACTGGCCGGAATCTGCATCCATGCTGTGTTTTTGTCCACCGTGAGGTTGAGGTGGTTGCTGTGGTGCTCCACTGAAACGTGGTGCCAGTGCTGGTCGTCTAAAAGACTCCCGGACGAAACCACAAACCGGCTCTCAGGAGACAACCGCCTGCCTGGAGGAAGGGGGAGATTTGATGGCAGCTAATGAGAATATGAAAAAAACCTGAGGGAGAAATAATCTTTTTAACAGAATAATCAGAGAAGATGTAGAAGACACCTTTTGTTTTTTCATTTTTACAGATATTTTCTATGTAGAAAATATGGACATACAGTGGGGCAAATAAGTATTTGACCCCTTGCTGATTTTGCAGGTTTGCCCACTTACAAAGAATACTTATTTTTCCTCATCAGATGGTTATCAATTTTTATAAATTCAAATGATGTGATTTTCTGGAGTTTTCTTTGGGATTCTGTCTTTCACTGTTAGAATGTACATATGATTAAAGTTATAGATTGTTGCATTCTTTGTAAGTGGGCAAACTTATTTCCCCCACTGTACTTTGTTGGCATAGCTTGGATAGCCTAGGAATAAGCAGTATAGCCAATGAATATATGAACGTATTTGTTGTATTCATTACATTCTCACATCTTCAGTTTCTTTAGACTGGTGTAAAAGTAAATGTTTCTCCTGGGGATTTAATCTTAGAAACAGAGCGTTAATCCATCTAAAGAGACCCAGAAAATATAGACTCTGTCAAACAAACCAATCAAAGGAGGTAGGAAATGAGGCAGATGGGTATAAATAAATAAATGAGCGAAGAAATACTACCGACACACTCCACTCCCTGAAGTGTCAGCAGAGTGAGGATTTTCTGGGGGGGAGACAGAGGTGGAGGCCTGGCTAAATGCACTCAGTCATTAAAAATGAATTGGATTTAGTTTGAAAAGGGACTTTTTGTCTGCACGGCAGAAGATGGGCTGAGAGGCAGAGAGACTGAGTCCACTGATGTTTTCAGTCATTGTCTTTACTGGAAAGAAAAATAAAGACCAAAGACAAAGTGGTGGCCAACACTGTGGTTTACTTAATCATCATTGACCAGGAGATGGATGTTTGCCTCCTTTTACCTGTTCAATGGACACAAACCTGTTATTAACAAACTGTATGAGGTTGGGTAGAATTTTTTTTATTTCTCAGAAAAGCTTGTTTCCACTCTGCATTTTTTTTGTTGCTGAGGGAAATGTGATGCACCTCATGATTCTTCAGCATAGATTTGCATTTGCACCCTGCTTACATCCAGAGTTTTTCTCTGTATGAAATTATAATACCAAACAGCGGCGTAGGCCCCCATTTTATCACATTCCCCATTATTAAAAAACGTTTTCCTATAATGAGAAAACAGCCATAAAAGTGACCATATTGTGCTTTTAAAGTTTGGTCTCCTGAGCTCCTCCTGTGGGTGAAAAATGACAACAATCATTTTAATAAATACTGATTTTATTCAATAATCCTTTTTCGTTGTTTAGTTAAGCTCTTTGTACCAAACGGATTGAAAAAAGGCTAATGAATAAATAATGAATACAAATATTAATGTTCCAATTATCAATGTAAGTACATAAGGGAAAATTTGTTTTTGTATGGGATACTTATTCATGTTTGTCACTCTGCTTCCCCTGTTTATTAGAGCCATCTCAACTCAAAAAGTCCCATTTTATGATTCAATATCAGACTCCAATGCAGCCTCAGTGCACTAGGGAGTGAAAAACGGTGGTAAACCACTTAGTGGCAAAAATATCTGCCAGATTCGTCTACATGAACGCAAACGCAGTATACAACATCGAGCCTACAGACAACAAGAGGGGCTGTTCAAATGTTGTGTTCAGTATGGTAACACCTTCCTTTAAATCACATCGAGTGAATCCTGTCATCTTAAACCCAATAGACTTAATATCAGACCGAAATACTGACAGACGTTTGTTTTTTAACTGTACAAATTCAGCTGATTGTATTACTTCTGAAATATCTGAATGTGCGTCTTCAGATCGGGATTAAAAATTTGAAAATTGAGCTCAAACTGTGTAAAATACACTCCAATGTCACCAAAGTGACCCTTTACATTAGAAAACTGCCAAGATTTCATGTTTACAATATTGTAATACATAATTAATCTCCTGTAAGCTGTTTAAAAAAATAATAATAATTCTGCTTGACACCGTCTTCATTTCTTGCGTAACACATTTCAAAAGATCAGTAAACATTGATCCTTTCTACATTTGTTTTCACAATTTTTTCCAGGCTCCAAAAGAGTGAGTGAGCTTTAATTATGTGGCCCAAGCCCCCAAACTGCACCCTGACATTTTGATGAATGTACAGAAGCGGTGAAATGAGCGGCTCTCACCGCGAACACATGCATTTTAACAAGCCGCCGCGTTTAGTCAAAGAGCTCGGAGAGCTCCAGGCAAACCAACTGGAACTAAGTGACTTCTGTTAAGTGTGGCTGAAGGCTGCATGGTGTAAATGGGTGAACATAATGGGCTGGTTGGGGCCAAACGCACTTACTAATGCAAATCTAATGCAGGCGAAGGTGCAAATTGGGCCTTTTATTGTGATTTTCAGAGTCGACGAATTGGACTCAGAAAGGGGTTCATTTTTTCTGCAGAACGAGGCACAAACCAGTCGGCTGCTGGGAGATAATGCCACACGGTGACTGTATATCCAGTCCTGCTGTATTTACATCGCTGGGAAATGAGAGTGCCCATGAATAACTTAGACCTGTCCTCTTTTCTCCTTACCCGCCAAGTGTTCGGATAAAAAAGTAATGTCGCTTTTTTCAAGTAACTAAACTTACTGCTGACAGGGACAACAAATAGAAAACAAAAAATATATCTTCTTTCATTCAAAACAAGTTCAATGAGCATCATTTCATGGTAGTCCTAAAACTCAGGATGATCTGATGTTTATTCATCTTCTTTGTATGATGGATCAACTAGCCGGGGAAAAAAATACAGAAATTCCCCTGCTTTCAGGCACGAATCAGAGAAAAGCTCCCATAACTCATGGTGCTGTTTAGCTTCTGTGCAGCAACACAAAACAGATGGAAGGACCTACAAAAAGAGAAATATTACAAATGCAAAAAGATACGAGGGAAAAAAATAACAATAGGCAAACACCTTCGATCTCTATAAAGCGATTCTGAAAAGGAAGAACTGTCTGCTTTATGTCAACCTTTTCTCCTCCCATCGAGTCTTAAAATGTAACATGGAGTGCTTAAAAATAGATGATCTATATCTATTCTATATCTAATCTATATTTCTTGTTTCATGAGAGTACAGCAACTCTAACTGAAGCTGCTGTGATTGGCTGGGCCTGAGGATGACTGGAGTTTTATTGCAACACTAAATATTAAACACTGGTTTTTGGAAGTGAAATATAATTTTGAATCATTGCGTCCGAGTTAAGTTTGTTGTGCAAATAAACTGGCTTTTGTCCACAGATTTGTCCAGATTTGTACCTTTTCTGAAGAGCAGGACGAGTTTTCCCTTCTCCAGCTCCAGAGTGAGGCTTTGCTCGTTCTGTCCTTCCATGTGAAGTATGACCCCAGAGTTCTTCATGGTTTTGAATTTGAGATAAAAGCTTTCAGTTTCCATCTGCTTCAGCGTGGGACCCAACCTGAAGAGGAGGCTGCTGTGGCCAGCGAAGCTCACCAGGTCCGAATCTGAAAAAAAGCGAAGCCCCACGTTAGTGAGATGTTTCCCCACAACTGCTTTCTTTACAGATATGAAACGCTGCAAATATACGACAAACATGTGATTTACTTTGTATAATTATCTTCCACATGCTCCTATTCATGTTCTCTGTGACACGAATAGGGAACAAAACATCACACCATGACTTTCTGTCCATTAGATCGCTCTTTCTCCTTCTTTATCTTTGATTGACTTTTGTGTCTTTTTTAATCCCTGAAACCATGGGAACCACGTCAAAAAGCCGTGACTGTCTTTTCTCGCTCAACCACAAGCCAATAAAAGCTGACACTATAGAAGCTCAAACCGAAGACATCCTCACCTTTGGGACTGCACCTCAATTTATCTGACGTTCCACTCTCAGTACATCAGGGAGAGAAAAAAGCTCTACCTTTGGGGCCAAAAAGTTTTGAGAACAACACACAAAGTTGACAAAGTTTGCCCCTTTTTATGGTGTACTGAAGTAGTTTTTCGGGCTTCAGCGCCTTTTATTGATCATTTTATAAAGTATGTTCACGGAGTCGATATTTGTAGCATCTTTCTATCTTTTGAATTTTCCTTCTTTTTTTGGATCAATCTCGTGTACCCATATTTAGACGAAACTGACATCAGTGTGTTTAAGAGCACTGTCAAAATGAATTGAATTAGTTAGTATATACTAGTAGAATTCAAGTTCATCTTCGCCGTTTCAACTTGTGATCAGCGGCAACAACAAACTGCTCGTTGGGGATTTTAGGGGGAAATAAACTTGGGCATCGTCAACAAAACAGTGAGGAGAAACGCTGTATAGTAGTCTTTTTCAATCTCAAGGATTGAAGCAGGGAGCAGCTGGCATGAAGAAAAGAGCATCGGGCCCAGCACAGATCTGAGGAACTCCACAGGTAAAAGGGACCTCTTAAGAGGGAAAACCTCCAGGGGTACTGAATGACCCCTGCATAAGAAGTGGGACTTAACCATAGAGAATAGAACCATTTATGCATTCTTGGTTCTTTAAACAAGAGGGTATCAACAGCAGCTTTGCAATCAGGTTTGTATCTGTCTTTGTTCTTTTCAGAGTGTGAAGAGATCAATAAAAAGACATATGGTAACTTAAGTAGTTTAGAATGAAACGACCAAAAAGCAAAATACAGCATGGAGAAACTGATCTTTAAGATGATTCCTGAGGTGGATTAATGACAACAGATCTGGTCTTCTGTCATTCAAAGAAAACATTAGATCAAAGGTCCCTTTCTGGTTTTGTTTCTGCCATGGATACATTCTCTGGCCCACTGTGTCACTACTGAAGCATCAAATTAGAAAAGTCAATTGAAATGAATTCATTATTGCCGCTTTCGCAGCTGACAAGACATAAAGTATAATCAAAGCTTGTAATTTACAGCAATGTACAGATACATGGACAGAGTATCCTTGAATTATTGTATTATTATCATTTTGTATCCAGCTTCTGAGGCACTTTTTGTGCAACATTTTTGTAAATAAATTACTTTTCTGATCTTTGGATCCACCACACCCTCACCAGGATGGGGTGTATTACCTCTCACACACCCTGCTATTTCCAGTATTCATTAGGAGATACGGGTCTTCTTCTGTTTGCTGTGTGCTCGTCTTTTCCTCGCGGTGACCTCCGCCGGCCTCCACCTGTCAGGGACTGTCAGAGAGTCCCCACCTGTGGCTCATTATCAGCCTCATTTCCCCTCCTCCTCTACATACAGGGCTGCGAACGCTGCACCCAAACAGCGGCGCATGACATATTTACAACACCTTTTACCAATTACTGCCACTTCTTTTTTTACTCGTTGAGCTCTTTGAAAGTAACCACAGTGTACGGATGAATTAGCACACAATGGATGACCAATTACTGGAACAACAGGTAATATTGGTGTTCAAATTAAGGCCCTTAAATTAAGTAAATACATGTAAATGTAACTATAGGTTAGAAATATTGAATATGGCTAAAAAGGTTCATGTGTGAAATTCTATTTAATTTCCTGATGTGAAGCAAGAGGCCCCCGGTGTTTGTGAAAATGACTGAGAAGAAGCAAAGGAAGAAAGCCAAAACTCACCATATGGACACCCGTACGCCTCCAGCCGAAGTCCAATCCGCCCGTTCCGATTCCAGTCCAGAGGAATCAGACGGATGAACCGAGCAATCACCGGGTGCTGCAGCTTGTGCTGGACCACGCTGTCTGCGTTGCTGTTCCCTGGAAAGGCCTGGAAAAGATGTCGTTCCCTCAGTTTGCCCATTTCGCAAAGGTACCAGAAGAGCCTCCCTCAGGACTTCTGCCGAACAAGCTATTACTAAAACGGCAAAAATGTCCTTTCATCCTTTCATTGAATTGGAACTGTTGTCCCCAAGGTGTCTGTGAAAAGTGATATTTGATTTTCCTCTTAATGAAGGCAATATTGTAGAGACAGAGCCCTGTTCCTGGAGAAGGATTTCTCAATCAGGTAGAAAATTAGATTTGTGAAGGAGTTGTTGCAGCTCTAGATAAATTACACTCCTTGGTCTACCTTTGGTAACATTTATCAACCTCAGAGGCCCTAAATCTTTCTAACCCCCAGAGCAACAGTAGAGATGTTTGTGAACCTTAAAACTCTGAGTTTCTGACTCATTTTGAAGTACACTGACCCTATGATACCCCAGAGTTGAGGAGGTATCACAATTAATAACAGTAGGAGGAGCCAAAAAGGGAAAAAATAGCAAAGTTTTGGTGTTGTTGGAAGATTCAAGTTGGACTTTGTTCTTCTGTTGTTCTTTTACAGTGACATCATGTGAGGGAACAATTATTTTTGATTTGAGCACCAATACCCTGGCCAATACCAATAATCCATTTATCCTTTTGTTTCGTCGCTCAAACATTATAGTTTTAGTTTAAATAAACTGTTGAATCTTCTCATTCTCCCTGGATCTGCCAACACTGGAATCTTCTCTGTAATGCATCCTCTATTCACACAAACAAACGATTCCCATCACACGTGTTTTCTGTAACTTACCACCCCTCTTCATCCACACACAAAAGAACAGAAGAGAAACAACGTGGGGGTGAAATGGAGGCCCATTCTCTCCGGAGCTATAAATCACATTAATGCGCTGGTTTGTAGTTGTGAGGCAGCTGGATATATGCTTGAAATAACTGAGGAGAAGTTAGCTATGCATCACATTCAGGAGCTAAAACGTGCTCCTAAAACACCGGCTCAGTCAGCTCCAAAATATAATTAGAGCAGGGAGTATTTCTGCACTCAAACTTAGGATAAAGAAAAGAAATCAAGCAGCCCCGGTGAGTTTTCAACATCAGAGTTTTGCTTTGCAAAAAGTTTACTTCAAATCTCCTGGTAAAACGTAGTTTTGGTCAGAATCCTTGAGCAGCTTGAACTTCTACAAAAATTCAGAGCATATGTAGAAAAATAAACTGAACTCAAATTATGAAATAGAGCTGAGAAAAAAAAACTGCTTTTAGTTTAAACTCTTATCGAATTAACAGGAGGCTCTGGAGTTTTTTAGGCTCAAAGGTTTCCATGTGATTTAAATCAGGACTAATTGGTGGTAAATTTATCAGATATATTTTCTTTACTATCAAATCCATATGTCATTCATTTTACTTTAGAACGCCACAGATTTTCTTATCAACTCAAACCATTTGATGCCTTCAGGACCAGCACAGCAGTACCACATTATTATTACACAAACTTTCCATCAAACATCAAAATTTCCATCAATCTTGTTTTCTTCTATTTTTCAGAACAAACTGATACGTGCAGTGTGGCTTATTTGTGACTGTTTTTCAAAGTCTCAACATGATTTTTGTGATTCTTTGCTTTGCTTTGTTCACAGTTAAGGTACAGATTTACAACTTCCATTCTCGCACATCTGTAACAGCCAGACTGACCTGTGGGTTTTCACATAGTCACTGCGTTCCTGCTATTTTTACTGTTGTTGGAAAATAGCGTTTCTAAAAAGAGTTTTTGTCATCATAATTATGTAGTGTAACACTGATTTTAGTTGGTTGATTTGCTTTTATTCTCCAAGAAATGCATTATTCGCATTTATGGAATGTCAGTAATGAGGTATGAATATTGATACCATCATTAATCAGCTTTTTTTTCATTTTTTTTAAAAACAAAGTTGTTTTTTTCTTGCAAATCACTGCATGTTGTTTTCTCGACTTAGGCCCTCTTTGCTGCTTAAAGCTCCTCCACTGGAACTTCTGGTCCTCACACAGGAGGCTTTTGTAAAAAATCCTGTCTTCAAACTCGGAGCACAAAGCATGATCAAAGTTTTCTTTTATGAAACTGTATTTCTTCCCTGTGGTGAAGTGTTGGCCTGTCAACTGTTAGCTGGAATGGATGGGTTATAAATTTTTAATTCGCATCGCATACAGAGTTATATATTCCCTGGTTAGAAAAACACACACACACACGTATATTTATGGATGTGTGTGTACACCTGGCAACCTTTACAGTTGTTGAGAAGTAGGAACGAGACAGGAGAATTAGAGAAATAGAGCTTTGGTAAGCCTCACAAAGCCTCTCTTCTAAGCTCAGAGGAAACTGAGGTCCTGGAGGAAATGTGACAGGTCGAGCAGCACAGAGAGCGACTCTTCCTCAAGAGCCGCTGTAAGCTCGTCTGACTCATTTGCAAAGCCTCGGAATGACTTCCGCGACATGCTGTGGATTTGTTTCAAATGTGCTGAGTGTGAAATCGGCCATCTTTTAAGCCGTCTGAAGCCCCCTTTTGTTCTCTCTCAGAGGTAGTTTTCTGCCAGCTTTCGGTTTTGATCTCACCGTGGAAGTCTTAGAGCTCTTCTCAGGCTGTTTAAATGATGTCCACGCAGATCCACTGGAACTTCAAGCAAGCTATGTGTGACCTGTTTTTTGTATTAATGAAGAAGTACTCTGGCAGTGCTCACACAGACTTTGTGTAATGAATGGGCTTTATTTAGCCCACCTGATAAACAAACTCATCTTTTATAAATAGCAGAACAGGGTAATAATTGCTGGCAGACTCTAAGATTCTTGCTGTTTGTTGTCTGTGTGTGCTGGCAAAACATTTTACCGTTCATTCACACCCCTAACAAGAGAAACAAATTACAAAAATTTAAAAAATTATTCCAGCCAATAAGTTAAAAAGGGGGAATTGTAGTTGTGTCCAGTCACATGCAGAGAAAAGCTCTCCGGTGGATCACATTTTAGCAGCTTGTGCTTCAGGATCTTCTCCTTATTGTCATTTTGTGCTGGGTCAGTACGATTGAGAAAAATGAGTCTGTATCAGTGGACCTGGCCACATTCAGAAGGACATAACCTGCTCCGGACGTCGTACGATCACAGTTTAAGTGAAAAAAAACACATCCTTTTTATACATTTACCCAAGTAACTGATTTCTGGTATCTTTTCATGATCCTTCCCATTTCAGTGATGTATTTCTCAAAGTAACCAACATTTATTTCACTTCATACAACCTGCCAGGTGATTAAAAAAATGAAAGAAATGATAGAGAAAGACAATACATATAATCTATTAACACCTAAAGGATTCAGGCTATGGAACACTAAAGCTGGTCTGTTTTCATGCTCTTTATAGAACATTAGACCTGTAAGTCTGTCAGCAGAGGCTGTTCGGTCTGAAACACGAGTTGAACCAATCCCAGGAGGTCTTTTTGACGTGTTCTGACCTGAGATGTGGACTCACCCCTCTGCTGCCCTCCTGCCGGTACTGTCTCCAGTTGTGTCCCGTGTCGCTGAACATCAGCAGGTAGGCCGTCTGCCAGTCGGAGCTGCCGTAGCGGCCCTGCGTGGCCACGGCCGTGACCTGCGTGCGTCCGGCCAGGTCCACCTCCAGCCACTGATCTCTGTCCGAGCTCTGGGGGGACCAGCCTCCAGCTCCTGCCCAAAATCGCCCAGGGCAGAGACAAAGAATCAAGTAAACCAGAGGAAACTTATACCTGCTACCAACTTTTCTAAAAGCAGATTTTTCCAACACAAAAACATGCCAGAGGACTAACTCTGCAAACGACAGAACAGAATCAACAGAAAATAAATCTTTCTGAACATATATATATATATATTTTTTTAACATATTTTATAGAATATATTATATTCTATATATATATTTTTTTTCCATAGGGTTAGGGTACACATACTACTAATTATTTTTCCACTTCGCAGTCAATTGGTTGGTGTGATGGGAAAGTTCTGATCTGCCTCCTCCACATTTGGACTTATCTAATTCATGTCTTCCTTAAAAGCTTGTGGATTTAATGTACTCGATTAGTTGATTTAATGGAGTTATCGGCGTCCAGCAGAGCTGAAGCAGGCAAACCAGTATCAGTCAATTTTATTTAATCTGTTAGAGGCTGAAATAACAACATCTTTTTAAAAAATCTTCATTGTCAATCATTCATGTCCTTCTCCGTCACAGATGGTGGTTAATCCCCTAATTTTTACAGTTATGAAATGTTTTGATTAATTTATTTGTGTTAGAAAGATCGTTTGATCCTGTTTGAAACAAAATAACATCTTTTCTCGTGGATGCGCTCTGCGAGGAAGGACTGAGAAGCTTAGTTAAATAACTTATTACTATCTTAAATGTATAAAACACATCTGATATTTTCCTTAATGGGGAAACATTTTACTAAGCAAGAGATTATACACCAGATGTGGGGACATCAAAATGCATGGAAACATGTTTCCAAACCTTTATTTGTGGGTTGATTTTTTTTGCCCGTGTGGGAATGCTAATTACATCTCATATATTGGATACTTTGTAAGTGTTCAATACATTAAATCTTCAATGCATAGGTGAAAAATTATTAAGAAAACTGTAAAACATGCAAAACAGTTGTGTATTGGTTAACATTTGCATTATGTTATTAGCCTATTCCCCTGTTCTCTGTCATTACAGCTTGGAATATTGAATTAATTTGTTAATTCATCCATTTATTAATTCTTTGTCTTTTTTCTGGTTAGCTTCATACAAAAAAAAAGCCTCTCTGTTTTGCTTTCACATCTGTGGGTTGCCCCATGTGAGGGTGTACATTTTGCCGGCAAATTATCTCTGAATAAGGCACATCACCTCAGAGAACAACAATAGGTTATGAGGAGAATCAGCTGGAGGATACGTAAATGAACCGTTTATTTATTCCCACTGAGAACATCTGTGATTTTGAACATAAGGCACTTTCTATTGTTGAGTCAAGGAAAAACTTTGCAATATGCTTTGGATTTTTTTCTGGAACACGCATTATTACGGTCAAAACTGAGCTTTAATCAGTGCATTTTCCCTTCTAAACTCTAATCTGAGTCAAGTACAGAGCTGAGATGTGAGAGCATTTTGCGTTACAAAATGTTCAAAGAGACACGCGGAGTCTAGTGGGGAGATTTTCCTGGAGCTAATGAGCTTAACCGAGACAAACAGAAGAGACGTGAGACTTCACAGAACAGCTGCCCAACAGTTCGGCTCAGTTCTGTGTTGTTTCCTCTGTATTTCTCACAGGCACGCTCCCATGTTTAGCAAAGATTGCTTGCAGACCTGCGGGCGCTTTACGTGCGACGGCATCTTCAGTGTTTACCTGTTTTTAAAAGAGAAAAAACATGTTCTCAGGTTGTGCCAATCAGCTCCATTTGATCCCTGTCTGGAGGCACGCAGTCTTCTTTCACGAGGATCAAACTGGAGTTGGCAAGAAAAACTGAGCGGGATGAAGGAGGTAAAGGAGCACTGTGGGTCTTTTTGCTCGCAGCTTTTTTCCATCAAACACACCGAGACATCAGTTACCTTCAGGCTCAACCTCCTGCAGGCAGGTGCAGAAAATCATTCAATCTCTGCGTTACTACGAATACAGAAACATCCCGGCTTCTGTATTCAACTTTCTGTCTCAGGTATGAGGGTGTACAGGCATCCTGAAAACTCCTGTATCAGCAAATACCTTCTCACAGGCTCCTTTTGATCCAGGTATTCAGCAAAACGCGGCAAAAAAACTGAGCCCTACCCGCCATTACCGCCTATCCTTTAGTCCAGCAGATACAATATGTGCTTTCGGTTGATGTGGGTCCAAGTGAGTTGTGTCTTTGATGTGTCACGAGCTGCACAGCTGCAACACAGCGGGGGGGGGGGCTCCTTTTTGCAGACTATTTGATCAACACCGAACCGAACAACCGCCGAAAAGTTTGGAGATTATAGAAGAGAGGGAGACGAGAGGAAGACAGGGATGCAGCCGTCATTTACGGATGCAAAACTGTTCCATTTTAAATGGGTATAACTGAGCAATGGAGGGATTAACATGTATGTAAAGGTATTTTTCACAGGTCTGAGTTCTCATGATTTGTATCAAGATAATCTGATTTTTTTTTTGGTAAAGCTTGACTGAACTGTGCAGGATGTAGAGGCAGATGCTTAGAGAAGTGACCGTTGCACATGTGTCAGAGTGTGTGAGGCAGAAAAAGAAGCTGACGCGTTAAAGATCTATAATTCATATAAGGTGGTTGACATGCAAAAGGCAGTGGTGTTGCCCACCTTCTCTCCGGTTGAGCTTGGCAAAGCCGGGGCCGTGACTGTCCGACAGCTGGGAGGAGCTCCGGAAGGACGCGGGCTGCAGGCCGGATACCAGCGGGCTGTGGCACCTCTCTGCAAACCCCCAAAAAACACCAGTTAAAAAACAACAAATGGACGAGTAACGCTCAGAATCCACGGGAAAAATCCACCCAAGTAAATCATTGCTGGGGTGGGGGGGGCATCTCTGCTGTCACTGGGTCAGATGAACGGGTCTGTCCATCACAGGTGAGACATTTTTAGAATAATTTGTGGTCCAGTTTCATGTTTCAAAGTCTTAACAATTAAAAAACTGACTGATAACTAACTGATACAGATATTTCTGAGCCACACTGCAAAACCTTGCTTTAAAAACCCTGGAACACAGAGTATTTTTCCTTTTTTGCACTCTAGTTTATAGTAAAACTCTGCATAAAATGTTGATTCAATTTGACTAGAAACACATGAAATTTGTGCAAATGAGCAAACAAGACTTCAGATACAAAAGTAAGTATTTTTTATCGATCTTTCATTGGGTCAGATTTTATGGAGTTAATAAAGTTACAGATGAAGTGTTTGTACTCAGCTTTAAAGTCTCCAAATACAATTTTACAGCATCTTGCCCAGCCATGTAATTTGGTCCAGTGGGTTTGATCTTTCCCCAGTCCTTGAATCACTTCTGCTCCATGCATTAGAAATATTTCTCGTGCCCCCACACGAGCCATTCTTTTTATTACATCAAAAAAACTTTTCGTGACTTTGCAGTTCGTCCCGCAAACGAGTTTAAGGAATGATTTATGAAAGCACATAATAGTTTTTCAGTGTGGGCACGGCCCCCGTGTCTCATTTCCAAGTTTTGATGCGCTCAGTTCCTCCCCTCGGCTCCTTTGTGGAGACTCAGTCCCTCCCCCCTGAGATCTGAGCAGATAAGGTGAAGATAAAGATGAGGGAGGAAAAAAAGTGAGAACTGGTTTGCTGTCACCCGTCTTTGTGACTGACCTTTTATGCCAGTTGGGCTTTTTATCCATCACAATCTTTAAAGTTGATTTAAAGTGTATGTTTTAAACGTCACAGACTCTTTTAGAGGAACATTATCACATGAGGGAAGACTTACGACACACAGAGGCTGTAATCTGACTAATAAATGAGGATGAAATTAATTTTAACTATATTTGCAGATTCTTTCTGTTACTTGTTGTAATTTTCTCCTTTTGCACACGTTCCAGTCTTATTAAATTAAGTTAATTTAGATTGGGTCATGTTAAGTCAAGTTAAGTCAGGTTAAGTTGAATTAATTCAAGTTAAGTTTATACAGCTTTCTTTTACAGCCCATCATGTAGGTTTTGCTCCATTTGTGAGTAAATGAGGAACATATGAGAAATGTCAGTTGTGTTTATGTGGTAAAATCCTCTTTTTTTAAAATCAAAATCATAGCCTTCTGTTGGACTACACTACATTTGACAACTTTCTATTTGAAGTCCCTCATATCAATTTTAGAATGTGATTTTTATTCATTATTTCATTATTCAAAGTTTTCCAAACAACCAGAAAAACAACTTCAACCTTTCTACTACTATAGAAATGACTCAAATGAAGAAGGTTTACAGCTTTTAGACCCGAAATAGAGCCTGTTTGCTTGAGGCTGATGCTTTCATTAAAATTTAAGAGTAGCACTAATACAGTGAAAATTCCCAGAAATGGAATGAGCCTCATAAAAAGTGCATGAAATGTATAGAGCAGAACTTTTATATTACATTTGACATTTTGGCTGTGTAGATGTCATTTTAATTATGACTGACTAAACTCCAAGATGGTTGATAGAGCTTTTAGCAAATGCCATCCTCTGCATCCTTAGCTTTGCAGCAGCGGCTGGGGAATTACGGCAAATATCCAGAAGTTATGAAAG